TGCTGATGATGCTGCTGATGATGATGATGCCGATGATGTTGATGTTGTTCATACTGATGATGTTGGTGATGTTGGTGATGATGCTGATGATGATGTCGATACGGATGCCGATGCGGATACTGCTGCTTCGGCTGATACCGATGCTGGTGCAGATGCTGCTGCTGCTTATGTTGATGACAACCAGGGAATGAACCATCGATGAAAGAACCATAGAGGGTGCCATGATGAGGAGGAGGATGAGCAGACGGAGCAAGCGGAGGAGGGATGCGGGAGGAGGGTAACGCGAACCTGGCTATCCGACAACGTCGTTCGTGTACATCTTTTGCGGCTTCGCTGACCAGCTTCCCTAATAAGCTTAAGCCAACCTCCAGCCTCCAGTCGATCGATCTACTCTGCATGATGTGGCTACAGAATCGGAGGTTGGGGGGTGTGAGCGGAAGTGACCCCAACCAGGACATCGTTTTCGGTGTCGGTTCGTGTCGTGCGTGCAGGCCAGGCCAAGCTGCGCGAGTTCCTGCATTTGTAGAGGCCACATGGGGCCCAAAAGGTCGCCTGCCCCCCCCCCCCCCTCGGCCAGGCGCGGCCCCCGATGGTTGTCCCGCGGGTTGTCCCAATTGTTGTCCCGATGATTGTTCCGATGGGTGTCTCGATGGTTGTCCCGATTGCGATGGTTGTCCCGCCCGATGGTTGTTCCGATGGTTTTCCCAACGGTTGTCCCGATGGTTGACTCGATGGGTTTTCCGATTGTTGTCTTGATGGTTGTCCCGATGGTTGTCCAGATAGTTGTCTCGATGGTTGCCCCGATGGTTGTCCCGATGGTTGTCCCGATAATGGTCTCGATGGTGATGTCCCGATGGTTGCCCCGATGATTGTCCCGATGAGTGTCCCGATGGGTGTCCCGATGGTTGTCCCGATGGGTGTCCCGATGGTTGTCCCGATGGTTGTCCCGATGGTTGTCCCGATGGTTGTCCCGATGGTTGTCCCCATGGTTGACTCGAATCATTTCCCGATGGTTGTCCCGATGGTTGTCCCGATGGTTGTTCCGATGGTTGTCCCGACGGTTGTCCCGATGGTTGTCCCGATGGTTGTCCCGACGGTTGTCCCGATGGTTGTCCCGACGGTTGTCCCGATGTTTGTCCCGGTGGTTATCCTGATGGTCTTCCCGATGGTTGTCCCGATGGTTGTCCCGATGGATGTCTCGATGGTTGTCCCGATGGTTGTCCCGATGGTTGTCCCGATAATTGTCTCTATGGTGATGTCCCGATGGTTGTTCCGATGGTTGTCCCGATGAGTGCCCCGATGGGTGTCCCGATGGGTGTCCCGATGGTTTTCCCAATGGTTGTCCCGATGGTTGTCCCGACGGTTGTCCCGATGGTTGTCCCGATGGTTGTCCCGAAGGTTGTCCCGATGGTTGTCCCGATGGTTGTCCCGATGGTTGTCCCGACGGTTGTCCCGATGGTTGTCCCGACGGTTGTCCCGATGTTTGTCCCGGTGGTTGTCCCGATGGTCTTCCCGATGGTTGTCCCGATGGTTGTCCCGATGGATGTCTCGATGGTTGTCCCGATGGTTGTCCCGATGGTCTTCCCGATAGTTGTTCCGATGGTTTTCCCAATGGTTGTCCCGATGGTTGTCCCGACGGTTGTCCCCATGGTTGTCCCGATGGTTGTCCCGACGGTTGTCCCGATGGTTGTCCCGATGTTTGTCCCGATGGTTGTCCCGATGGTTGTCCCGACGGTTGTCCCGATGATTATCCCGACGGTCTTCCCGATGGTTGTACCGATTGTGGTCCCGATGGTGTTGTCCCGATGGTTGTCCCGATGGTTGTCCCGATGGGTGTCCACATGGGTGTCCCGATGGTTTTCCCGATGGTTGTCCCGATGGTTGTCCCGATAATTGTCTCGATGGTGATGTCCCGATGGTTGTCCCGACGGTGATGTTCCGATGGTGTTGTCCCGATGATTGTCCCGATGGTTGCCCCGAGGGGTGTCCCGACGGTTGTCCCGATGGGTGTCCCAATGGGTGCCCCGATGATTTTCCCGATGGTTGTCCCGATGTGTTGTGCTGAAGGGTGTTTTGAAGGTTGCCCCAGATAGGTGGATACACAGTGGCAGATAGACATGTTTGACCGACAGTCGAGTTGATATATAGACAGACAGGTAGACAACTATACAGGAATAGTGATATCTATATAGTTTGGCATATGTATAGCCATATTGATAGACAGTCGAAATAGATCATTCGATATATAGGTCGATCGATAGATTGACAGATGCGCGCGGCAATAGCAAGTTGAAGACACTACCAACGATTCCAGAGCCATCGCAAATCGACCGCCTCCCCCTTCCCCCCCGAGCCTCCGTATCACCCGTAGGGTGGCCCTATCGGTATGCCAGACATTTTGCATAGCCCGCAGGTTCCCAATGAACGCTGCAGCCATTCCATCCCGTAGGGATCTGCCCCCCCCAACAAGGACCAGGCAGATACGCAGGTTCGATTTCGTACAACATGGGCGAGGAAACACATGTCGACCGAGTGGCCCTGGCAGCGCTCTGAAAGGCCAGCCCGGAACATCTCATATCCTGATGTCTGATCTCGCCCAAAAGATGCGAAGAACGCAGGGCGGTAGTAGCAGCAACATAATGAGGAGGAGGAGGTGGAGGAGGAGGAGGAAGAGGAGGAGGAGGTCAGCTTCCAGGCCTACGCAGGCAACGTGGAGACGGACAAAAGGGCGCGCCAAGGCGTGAAGCTGCACCGTGGCCAGGCGGTGTTGCACGAGCTGGAGCGGGGCTGGAGTGAGGCAGCCGCTTCGGCCTGACCTCGGTGCTGCCATCGCGGTGGAGTGCTTAAAAGGCACGTCGCCCTAGCCTGGCTCGATCGGGAGAAACTCCGTGGTCCGCGGGCCCGAAGCCTTTCCTGCCTGGTCCTGGTCAGGCCCGGTGCGGGCCATCGGCTCCAGCGGCTCGGGCGAGCCTGGGGGTGCGAGGTCTGCGGTGTTCGGAGAGCGTCTGAGGCCAGGCTAGTTTTGAGACCGTGCCCAGGACTTCCCAGGGTCGCAGCCCAGCCCCACCCGTCCCATAGGCGTTGGGTGTGTCGGGGCGGTGGGGACGGGCTTGGAGGGCGGTCCTCTGGGACGGGTGAGGACACCATCGTCGTTTGCAGAATCTGCGGGGCCTACGGGAGGGGACAAACCCTGCTTCTTTCCGAGGCCTGCGTCCGTTTGGCCAGGAAGGGCCGAGACGCGGCCAGACTGGCGCGCAGGGTCCTGGACAGGCTCCGTGGAGGCCGGGAACCCCAATCGGGCGTTTTCTGGGGCCTCCCTTTTCCCGTGTCCAGGGCCGCGCGGCTTGAAGCTTCAAGTTTCCAGGCCCGCGCCAGGCCTCTCTGTTTTACGTATTCCTGGCGGGCCCTGGGTTTAAGCCTGAGTTTTGATTCTTCGCCAGGGAAGAGGCTAGATTGCCGAGCAGTCTGCCCAATTTTTTAGGAACCAGAGGAGCCAAGGGCGGAGGAGGCGGAGGAGGAGGAGGAGGAGGAGGATACGGAGGAGGAGGAGGAGGAGGAGGAGGAGGAGGAGGAGGATACGGAGGAGGAGGAGGAAGAAGAAGAGAGGGAGCGATTGGCCTACATTTTGGCGGCGCTGTGCTATGATGTCGTCATGACGCACGCCATGATCATTGTGCAGGGGGGGGACAGGCTCGCCGCGGCTACTGGGGAGGAGAAGAAGGAGGATGAGAAGGAGGAGGGGGAGGAGGAGCAGGAGGAGGTTGAAGAGGAGGAGGGGGCTCCGTGCTCATTACCGCGACGTTATCAAGCAACTCTCCGACCTCCAGCGCGTGAGCCGTGGCGTGCGGGGAGGCGCATCCGCGCTGGGCAGGCCCTCCTCGCGACCTTGACGGCAAAGGCCCGCGCCTCGTCGGGGACGCGGGCACGATGGGCCGCCTGCGCGGCCAGATGATGGTGGTGGTGATGATGATGTTGGTGATGCTGACGGTGGTGGTGATGATGGTGCGTAGTGCTGGTGGTGGTGATGGTGGTGATGATGGTGCTGTCGGTGACGAAGATGATGGTGATGAACATGAATCGTCCAGCGTGCAACCAGCAAATGGGGGAACCAATTGACACACCACCTTCCTTGCATTCAAACAAACGTGAGTCGGCAAACTAAACTTAGGCAACCGCTACCAGCCATTATGCTTCATACTGAGAACCGCAAGTCCGCGTTTGGGGCCCGTCCGGTTGAGAACGGTCGCGACGTAAAACCATACGTATACAGAGTCACAGTCCGGCATGATGCAACACGCCGCACCGATTATGCGTTCAAAGGCTAAGAACACTCCATGGAGCTCCCTTCTGGGCGCAGATTGGTTCCGACCGACGAGAGCCACTGACCGAAGCACACACCTGGCACTGCTCGGAAGACGTTAACCGGGTGATCGGCGCACCGCGCCCAGCTCGGACTTCGGAGAGGGAGAGGGAGGATGGGGGAGGGCGGGGGGACCTCCTTCCCTTGACGCGGGCACTGCGACAGGGTGAATATGGAGGGGGGTGACGGGAGGATGGGGACTTGGAGAAGAAGGTCGGCGATCGACGTCCGATCCATACCCCTGCCGCTCCCACCCTATCGGGGCGCCAAGGGCAGCAGGGCATAGATATGAGAACGTGGCCTCGGAGACCAGGGATTTACCCATACAGTGGAGACCCATGCCAAGAAGTACCCTGCTTTCCTCCAGGGTGCCCTTGTCTTTTTGGGTTTCGATGGTTTTGCTATGGAACGCGCGACGTTCCCACACCAAACATCAATGGACGTCCTGGGGTCTCAGGGTTGGGTTTCTTGTGGAAGGTTTCTAGAGAACTGGCCTCCAGTGTATCTCCGCTCTGGCTACTCGTGGGGTCGGAGTGCGAGCAGGGGCATGGACAAAATGTCGACAGCCTTGGGAAGGGCGAGGCTGGCGACCGCGGCGGCGACGGCGGCGGCGGCGGCGCCCGCCCAGGCGCTCGGGGAGCTCGCCTGGGCGGGCGGCGCCGAGCCGGGCGGTGCTGGCGACGGGGCCTCGGAGCTGCGGCCGATCAGCGTGAGGCCCCGGTCAAGCAGTGTCGAAGCGTCCTGGCTCGCGTATAGGCACACCGAAGAATGTTCTAGCATCTCTTGTGGTTTGCACCAGCGTTCTCAGGGCATCGCTGGCTGAGACGGTCATGTTTTCATTAATTTGTTTCGTAGTATAAGGTCATGGTATTGTTATTAGAATATTCTCTTCTTCAGAGTGAGGGGGCAGAACGGTCATTCCTTGTCCCTGGGTGCGTGGCTGAAGTGGGGATCCGGCGTGAGGGTTATTATTGTTGCGCTGTTGTTGTCGTTGTTGTCGTTGTTGTCGTTGTCGTTAATGCTGTGGTTGCTGTTGAACTTTCACTTCTGATGAATAATTATTGTTGATCCCCCCTCACCGGTGCATAGTGTTTTTCTCAATCAAAGTGTGCCCTTCGACGCTCGCACCCTGTTTTGTGACAGGGAAAGTCTTGGTGTTCAAACTTTGCCCTTGGCCCTCCGGATTACAACAACAACAACAACAACAACAACAACAACGGCTCCCGCCTGAGACTTCCTCCAAGTTTACTCATGACCCCTGCTCCTAAGATTCCATCCCAATTTACTCAGGATCGGTGCTCCCGCCTGTGACTCCCTCGCAATTCAGTCAGGATCCCCGCTCCCATCTGAGACTTCCTCACAATTTACTCAGGAACGGCGTTCCCGCTTGAGACGTCCTCGCAATTGAAGCAAGACTTCCTAGCAATTTAATCAAGACCCTCGCTCCCGCCAGAGAACCCTTCACATGTTATTCAGGATTTGTGCTCTCGCCTGTGATTTCCATGCAATGTATTCAGAAATCGCGCTTTCGACGGTCAGGAAACAGGCTGCGCCAAGGGCGCCGTCACACTTCACTTAGTATTCGCACTCTCGCCATACTCAGGCATCCCGCTTTAATGTCCCACCCGCCCGACCCGCCCGTCAGGGGATCGCCCGCCCGTCGTTGGCTCCCGCCCGGGACTTCCTTCATGAACGGCGTTTTCTCCGAGGACTTCCTGCTCCTCCTCCCTCCCCCTCCCCCCTCCTCCCTCCACTCCTCCCTTCTCTCTCCCTCCTCTCTTCGCTCATCCTTATGCCTCTCTGCCCTATCCCCTCTCCCCCCTCTCCCTTCTCCCTTCTCCCTCCCCTCTCCTGCCTTCTCCCTCCCTCTGTCTTTCTCTCCCTCCCCTTTCTCTCTCTCCTTCTCTCTATCTTTCTCTACCTCTCTTATCTGTCTTTCGTTTTCTCTCTCTCTCTCTCTCTCTCTCCCTGCCTCTTTTCAACCGCCCCCCTCTTCGCTCCTTCTCTCCTGGCGTTTTCCCTCTTCCTTCGTCCCTCCCCCTTCCTTCCTCCCACTCTCCATCGTTCTCCCCTTCTTTTTTTTGCAGGGCCCGCACCAATTCCAATGGCGGGCACATGTACGCCCACGAAGGATTGTCCGCCCGTTCAGGTTTGCCCGCCCGTCTAAGCCCGCCGCCGCCCGCAAAGAGAAATACTACTCCCCCCAAAGGGGGTGTGATCGAAGACAAACAGGGCGGGTATCGAGGGTGTGGGGAACTCGTTGAGAATGACACGCGGGCAAGTAAGAGCGAACAGTCTTATAATGATTGTTGTTGTTGTTGTCGTTGCTGTTGTCGTTGTTGTTGCTGCTGTTGTTTGATCTCATTGTCCCACCCGCGACCCACGTGGCGACCCGCCCGCGACCCACCCCGCGAACCTCCCGCGACCCAACCCGCGACCCACCCGCGACCCACCCGCGACCCACCCGCGACCCACCCCGCGACCCACCCGCGACCCACCCCGCGACTTGCCCGCGACCCACCCGCGACCCACTTGCGACCCACCCGCGACCCACCCCGCGACCCAACAGCGACCCATTTGCGACCCACCCGCGACCCGTTTGCGACTCACCCGCGGCCCACCCGCGACCTACCCACATTTGTTCAACGAAAATTTCTGCGCCTGCGGCGAGCTCGTTGGATAATTTGCGAAACTTTGGCGCCTGCGGCGGGCTTCTCCAGAGTCTCGCAAACTGCCGACGTCCCCATCGCCCACTCTTATCCGCATCTGCGGGGTGCTACGTAAGAGAGTATTTCGTGGTAGGCCTATAGGAACGCTGGGACGGCGGTCGGTGCTTGCTCAACTCAGTATCGTCGCCGTCGTCGTTCCTTCTTCCGAGGGCGGGAAGGGGGGGCAGGGGGCGGTACCCTGAGATCCGTGTGTTTTCCGTTGGTTTCGGGCCACGGGATCATCACTGATCGATCCGGCTCGAGAGATGTCGCAGAAGGATAGGGTCTAGGGCTCCAGTCGTCATTTTTCGCGATGCCGCATGTTCGCCATGTCGGATCTCAGGGGAGAGGGGGGCGGGAGGGAGGGGGGGCTCTCGACTCGACGAGGGCGTGGCACCAGCGTGCCTCAGGAAAAATGGATGGATGGATGGATGGATGGATGGATGGATGGATGGATGGATGGAACGCTTTTGGGCAATGCGTGTCGGTGCCACGGGTTTCAAAAGCAAAGTGTTGCCACCCTGATTATGGAGTGCCCCCCTTGCGTGTCCTTGGTGGCATGGGGGTGAGGGGATAGCACTACTAGGCGCAGCCTAGCCCGCTTGCGCGTGAGAATCAATAACGCTCTCGCGTTGGTGGACTCTCGACAGGAGTCGGAGGCGAGCGAGGGGAGGAAAGTGAGAAGAAGCATGCCTTCTCAGAAGGCGCTGGGGCTTCTCAGAGGGCGGCCGCGGGCCTTCTGATCGATGTTCTGCGCCTTCGGGGAAGGCTTAGAACACTTCTCAGGAAACCGGAAGGCTTCCGAGCCTTCTGAGAAGCTCCTCCTCCTCCTCCTCCTCCTCCTCCTCCTCCTCCTCCTCCTCCTCCTCCCCTCACCCTCCTCACCCTCCTCCTCCTCCTCGTCCATCCTCCCTCCTCCTCCTCCTCCTCCTCCTCCTCCTCCTCCTCCTCCTCCTCCTCCTCCTCCTCCTCCTCCTCCTCTCCTCCTCCTCCTCCCCCTCCTCCTCCTCCTCCTCCTCCTCCTCCTCCTCCTCCTCCTCCTCCTCCTCCTCCTCCTCCTCCAGGCCCGCCCCTTCTCGTTTTCTCCTTGGGCCCGCCGCCGATCCAGACCTTCCACCACAACGTGCGCCGCCTCGCTCCTGCCGCTGGCACGGGCGTCCGAGGGCCCACGCCCTGCGGTGCAAGGCCGCGGCGTCCTCGGCCCGAGCGGCGAGAGCCACGCTCCCGAGTTCGCGCAGCGGGGGCCGGGGGCCGCTGCAGGGGCCCTTGCCTGGGCCGAGGTGCCCCCAGCTCTTCGCTTCCTTCCGGAGCCCTTAGGAGGCCGTGGGGGCCTCCTTGGAATTCCTTGGCAAATGCATGGCGATGGTCAACCCATGTCTCGCCACAGCCTACAGTGTCGGTCTTCTCTCTCTGCGCATTTTGTGCAGAGGGGTGCACGGTCGTGTTGGGCACAAGTGAAACAATTCGCTACACTTTGGAACCGACGCTTCGAGTGGCCCGAGAAGGGGGTCAACGCAGCGACCACGACCTGGGGGTCGCCTTGGAATTCCTTGGACATCCTGGGGGGCGCCTTGGGCCAGTGGCACTCCTGGCAACACCCGACCGGGTGGGGGGGGGGGGGGGCGCTTTGCCTCCCAGAGCGGCGCGGTCCTCCAGCCGCGGCGCGCTGGGCCTAGGACGGCGGGCGACGCCAGGGATGCCGGCATCGGGCGTCAGCCGGGAGGGCACGCATGGTTCGGGTGGCCGTGCGGCAGGCGCCAAAGCGAGAGTCCAGGCATCGCGCGAGTCGAATGACGCCTTCTCGCAACGACGTTTGTCCTGGACTCAGCGCGTGTACAGAGCAAACTGCGTGCTGCTGGCATGGCCCTCTGTGCGGCCCCTGAGGCACATTGGCTACGGAGGTGGGGAAGCGCTGCTGCGAGCACTTCTCTCCCGCCTGTGCTGAACTGTGTATGCAACTGTCTTGCCAGAAACTGAAGAATGACAATCTCAAAGCAATTGCAGCTGAAATCGAAAGTGAGCATTCTGTCTAGCAGAGCGCTGGTTCACCCCTCTCCTGAGAGTACTCGGTTCGCACCAATGCTGCAGCGACGAACGAACGGATCGATGAAACATGCACCGTAGGCGGCCAGAGAGGCAAGGGGAAGTGAAGTGCCCTTCGGCCCATCCCGCCACCGTGCCTGGCTTGTAGGTCAGAGGCCTCTCGGGGCCCTCCTCGCCGGCTTTTGGGCGCTCGAGGCTTCGAACAAGTCATGCGGGAAGCGTCGGGGCGTCGCGGGAGGCACGCCAAGAACCCCGACAAAAATTAAAAAAAAATGAGTTTGGGCCCCTTCATTTTCAATCCGCAGGACTGAAGACTGAGGACCACGAGGGACCTGAAGGCACTCCAATTGGTGCATCGCGGCACGGTGGCGGGTGTGTATTTGTGTGTATGCGCGTGTGTTTGTGCATGTGTGTATGTTTCTCTTTGTTTACTTACTGCGCCCGTCAGCCACGTCCTGACCCTTCGTTTGCAAGGCCAGGTGGCAATGAAACTAGGCGAAGCCCGCCCTAGTACTCGCTGCGGTTACACTCACCCCGGCTGCCGACGAAAAAGTATGTGTGTGCGTGTGTGTGCGTGTGTGTGTATTTGTGTGTGCGTGCGTGTGTGTGTGTGTGTGTGTTCGTGTGTGTTTGTGTGTGCGTGTGTGTGCGTGTGTGTGTGTGCGTGTGTGCGTGTGTGTGTGTGTGTGTCTGTGTGTGTGTGTCTGTGTCTGTGTGTGTCTGTGTGTGTGTGTGTGTGTGCGGGCGTGTGTGTGTGTGTGTGTGCGCGGGTGTGTGTGTGTGTGTCTGTGTGTTTGTGTGTGTGTGAGTGCGAGCGCAAGCTCGTGTGTCCACAGGTGGGTCTCGGCTTCAGCGTAGGCGGCGCTGCGAGCAACATAAACTCCGCTGGTGCTAAGTGCGTGTGTGTGTGTGTGTGTGGCTTCGGCCCTTCTCACTCCTTTGCGCCAGCCGCCCGCCGGGACACTCTGCTGGTCTCGGTGCCTCTTAGGAATGTGGTCCATTTTCCTCGTTTCCTCTGCCGCCGTCCATCCTCGTCCCGCGGCTCTCGATTCTGCTTGTTCTCACGTTGCATTCGCCTTGCACTCGCCAGATCTTTTCTGCCCAGCTCCAGCAGCAACGAGCCGTTTTTGGCCTGCCTATAAGCCCCGCGGAACTTGCAGGGACGGTCGTTCCCTGCTCGATCAGCGGTCGATGATGCTCGATTCCACTGGGGTTACAGTTGCGGCTTCACTTTCGAACAGCTCTGTTAACTTCAGAGCGGGCCGTCGCTTCTGTGCCACGTGAGCCGTCGACTGCACCCCATCCGCGTGCTGGATGGAAACACATGCGCGTGGGCGTGGCTCCGACGTGGGACTCGGCTCGTGCCCTGTCCGCTTGCGACCAGTTCCGTGGCGCCAGCATCGCAGAGCGGATTTCGCTCGGAAAACAACAGGATGGGCCCGGAGTGTCCTGGAGAATTTCGTTCCCGATTTCGAAGTGGATTTTTCGCGCGGATGTTGTTGGGCCGTGCAGGAAGGAAGACAAACAATCCACGTGAAAAGACCTTCGTTTTTCGCTCGCCGTTTTGGGGACTTGCATTGACAGGAATCCACGCGAAAATCCGCTGCAACACGTCTGCAAGGTCGGTGCAGTGACCAGTTGAGCGTCCCTGACCTGGCTCGTCATCTCCCGAATTCGGCTTTCGTTGGCTGGTGCAACGTGACCGTGCGGATGGCTATTCACCTGGTCGCCGACGCAGAAATTCCCTAATCAGAGCTTGCCTTTGTAGCGGTCATAGCGAATTCATATGGTTAGGTGAGGTACGGCGCCGACGGCGGCACGCCCGGGTGCCTGGGTGCCCGGGTGCCCGGGTGCCCGGGTGCCCGGGTGCCCGGGTGCCCGAGTGCCCGGGTGCCCAGGTGCCCGGGTGCGCCCGGTAGCCCTATAGCCTTATAGCCTAGAGCCCTATAGCCCTATAGTTTTATAGCCTTCTAGCCCTATGGCCCTCTAGCCCTGTGGCCCTATATAGCCCTATAACCCTGATAACCCTATAGCCCTATAGCCCTAGAGCCCTAGAGCCCTAGAGCCCTACAGCCCTATAGCCCTATAGCCCTATAGCCCTATAGCCCCATAGCCCTATAACCCTGCAGCCCTGTAGCCCTATAGCCCCATAGCCTCATAGCCCTAAACATATGTTGGTGTGGGTTTTCTCCGGTATCATGGTAATTGTGTATGTGAGAGAGAAAAACGGAAAACCATACATCATCAACAACAACAACAACGACAACAACAACAACAACATCAACAACAACAACAACAACAACGACAACGACAACGACGACGACGACGACGACGACAACAACAACAATCATTTTAAGACTGTTCGCTCTTACTTGCCCGCGTGCCATGCAACGTGTATACCCACGCCCTCGATACCCGCCCCTTCGTCTTCGAGCGTACCCCCTTCTGGGGGGATTCTTTCTTTTTGCGGGGGCGGGCGGGCTTAGACAAGCGGGCGTGAACGGGCGGGGAATTATTCGGAGGATGGGGCACGCATCTCTTTGCCCACCATTGGAATTAGCGCGGGCCCTGCAAGAAGAGGAAGGGGGAGAACGAGGGAGAGTGGGAGGAAGGGAGGGGGAGGGACGAGGCTAAAGGGGAACACGCCAGGAGAGAGGGGGCGAGGAGGGGGGGGGGACGATTGGAGATAGAGAGACAGAGGAGGGAGGAAGGAGGAGGCTGGAGAGGGGAGGGCGAAGAGAGGAGGGAGGAGGGTTATGGGAGGAGGGTGAGGGGAGAGAGGAAGAGGGAGGAGGAGGGTGGATATGAGGGAGAGGGGAGGGAGGAGGGAGGTTGGATGGGGAGGAAGGGGCAGGAGGGTAAGAGTGTGAACGTTCGAGGAAGTCCTAGGCGAGGGCGTATTCCTCAAGGAAGAGTTGGGCGGGAGCGGGGGTCCCGAGTACATTGTCGGACGTCTCAGGCGGGAGCGCCGGTCGGGCGGGCGGACCCTGACGGGCGGGTCGGGCGGGCGGGACATTCAAACGGGATTTTTGCGTAAGTTGCGAGGAAGTATTAAGCGAGAGCGCGATTCCTAAGTAAATTGCGAGGGCGTCCTTGGCGCGAGCGTGGTTCCTGAGCGTCGAGAACGCGATGCTGCAATACATTGCGAGGAAGTCCTAAGCGAGAGCGCCATCCCTGAGTAAATTATGAGGAAGTCTCGGGCGGGAGCAGGGGTCCTGATTAAGGAAGTCTCAAGCGGGAGCGCCGCTTCTGAGTAAAATGTGAGAAAGTCTGAAGCGGGAGCGCTCTTCCGGAGTAAATTTTGAGGAAGTCTTAGGCGGGAGCGGGGGTCCTGAGTAAATTGTGAGGAAGTCTCAGGCGGGAGCCGTTGTTGTTGTAGTCTGGGGCCCAACAACGCAATCTGATCCGCAAGGCTTTCCCTGTCAGAAAACAAGGTGCGAGCCCCGGAGGAAGCACTTCCATTGAAAAAAGCACTGGGCACCGGACAGGGGGGCCATCAACAATGCTTATTCTTCAGAAATGAGAGTTCAACAACAACAACAACAACAATCACTTTACCCGAACGCTCAGTGTTCTCACCAGTGCCAGGGTTTTCATGCGACGCCAGCCAATACCCCCACTTTGTGGGGGGGCAGTGCAAGCTCTACCAAATATCCACACGACTCTTCGCCACCACCCACACCCAGCTTCCCGCCCTATGACGTTCGGACACTTCACTTCGTGGCCTGCGGACGACCGTGGCTACTACACTGGCGTGGAGTACACACCCACAGAAGTTGTTAAGCCTACGTTCGTACACCCACAGAAGTTGTTAAGCCTTGTTAACCCACAGAAGTTGTTAAGCCTTCCACAGAACATCTGTTGCATATGATGCATATGGTACATGATACACATGATACACATGATACGTACTCGCAAGGGAAGACGTGCAGGTGTTTTTCGAGGACCCAATGGTTTTTGGAGATTTCGGCGTGCGCGCGCAAAAAAACGAATGTGTCCCGCATGGTATTATTTGACAGGGATGATGGCCCTGGCAGGTGCGCAACCGTTGTCGCAGAAGTTCGAAAAAGTTGCTCGCAAAAGCCCGTTTGACAGAAATGTTTAAAAAGTGTTGGTTTTCCTACGAATCCGCAAGAGCGCGCGGGATGAGATTTTGACATTTTTTTGTTGAAAAACCATTGGTTTTTTGATGTTTTTATGTTAAAATCGCTCCGAACACTAAGCTTTTGGAAGGATTTCGTCTTGCGCGCGCGAATGTCCACTTTACCTTATTTTTTGCAAGGGATTCTTGAAATTTGATTATATTAGAACAAGAAATGTCATTTTATAGTGTTTTTTGCAAGGGAAAGCGGGGGGGAACAAAACAACCGGATCTTGATCACATCGAATTACCTGAGGCTTCCTCACGAAAATGATGAAAATGTAGCTGCGGCCTAGGCGGCGCAGGGGGGCCGTGCACCAGGGGTCCCAACAATAATTATTCTTTAGAATTAATCATGTTCAACAACAACAACAACAATCACAACAATCACAACAACAACAACAACAATAATAACAACAGCAACACGTTTGCAAGGCCGTTGCAGTGACCAGTTGAGCGTCCTTGACCTGGCTCGTCATCTCCCGAATTTGGCTTTCGCTGGCCAGTGCAACGTGACCGTGCGGATGGCTATTCACCTAGTCGCCGACGCAGAAATTCCCCAATCAGAGCTTGCCTCTGTAGCGGTCCTAGCGAATTCATATGGTTAGGTGAGGTACGGCGCCGATTTCGGCGGCACACCCGGGTGCCTGGGTGCCCTGGTGCGCCCGGTAGCCCTATAGCCCTATAGCCTATAGCCCTGTAGCTTTATAGCCTCTAGCCCTATAGCCCTATAGCCCTATATAGCCCTATAGCCCTAATAACCCTATAGCCCTATGGCCCTGTAGCCCTATGTAGCCCTATAGCCCTAATAACCCTATAGCCCTATGGCCCTGTAGCCCTATAGCCCTATAGCCCCATAGCCGTATAGCCCTGGAGCCCTAGAGCCCTATAGCCCTATAGCCTTATAGCCCTGTATCCCTGTAGCCCGATCGCCCCATAGCCTTCTAGCCCTATAGCCCCACAGCCCTATAGCCCTAAGCATATGTTGATGTGGGTTTCTCCGGTATCATTGTAATTCTGCATGTGAGAGAGAAAAGAGAAAACAAAACATCAACAACAGCAATAACAATACCAACAACACCACCACCAACAGCAACAACACCAACAACAACAACTGCAACAACAGCAACATGAGTAACGAACAAAAGCACGTGTGTGTGTTGTGCTCGTACGCGTGTGTGCGTGTGTGTGTGTGCGTGTGTGTGTGCGTGTGTGTGTGTGTGTGTGTGCGTGTGTGTGTGTGTGTGTGTGTTTGTGTGTGTGTGTGTGCGTGCGTGCGTGTGTGTGTGTGTGTGCGTGTGTGTGTGTGGTGTGTGTGTGTGTGTGCGATACCCTGTCCCGCTACGCTGCTTGGGCCGAGTCCGTCAGGTGCCCCGTGGAGGATGGCAGCCGGGGGGCCGAGCATCCCTCCTGGCCCTGCGGGGAGAGGGGGGAGGAGGGAGGAGAGGGATGAGGGGGGGGGAAGAGAGAGAGAGAGAGAGAGAGAGAGCGAGGAGGCGAAGAGAGAATGAGGAGGCCCCGGCGCGCCGCGGAGGGGCAGCTCCTCCCTGTGGAGCTCGCACTCGCTCTTCGGCTCCGAGGACCCGCCTCCCTCTGCGGCCGCCGCGCCGGCCGCGTGCGCTTTGGGCCCTCCGCTCTGTCGCGGCCGCCGTCCACGCCGCGCGCCTCTCTTGCTGGGAGCCCGGTGGAGGCCGGCCCGCCCTGGGCGACTGCCCGCTCGGGGCTGGCCTCCCTCGGACCGAGGGCCACGCGGCCGAGGGCCACGCGGCCCTGCCCACAGCCCGGCCCAAGCTGCGCCGCCCAGGCGCCTGTCTCCACAGCGGTGGCTCCCTTCTCTTCTCCTCTTGTAGTATCTTTTTTTGTTGTTCCTCCTCCTCCTCCTCCTCCTCCTCCTCCTCCTCCTCCTCCCCCGCTTCTGCCTCCTTCCTCCTCCTCCTCCTCTTCCGCTCCTTCCTCCCGCGTTTCTCATCCTCCTCCTCCTCCTCCTCCTCCTCCTCCTCCTCCTCCTCCTCCTCCTCCTCCTCGTCCCCCTCCCACTGATGCTGCGCTCCCGCTGGGGCGGACATCCTGTCGCGTCCTGCCGACGTCTCTGGCGCCGCGCGTCCGCGGGCCCGCCCGGAGGTGGAGCGAGGGCAGCCCCCCTCCCATCCTGCCGTCCCCCACTTGCCCCCCCTATCTCAGACACGCGCAGAAGGGGGGAGGGGGAGAGAGGAGGGGGAAGGAAGAGGAGGGGGGAGTGGGGGGAGGACGGGGGAGGAGGGTCGGCCGCGCGCAGAGGGGGACAGCTGGAGGGGGGAAGGCTCCTTAGAAACACTCCTGCTTCCTAGAAGGTGCGGGCCTTGCCTGTAGACGTACGGCCCGCGCCTTCTAAGAAGCAGCATCCTTCTAAGAAGCCTTCCCCCCCTCCACCTACGCCCCTCTCTTCGCTGCCCGTCCTCTCGGAGCAGCGAAGAGCGGGATCGCCAAGGGGGGGGGGCTGCCGGTCTCGAAGCATTGGTAGCTCCGGCGTCACGCTCAGCCCCTCCCCCTGGCGGCGTGGGCACGCCGGGAGGTCTGGACATTATGGTTGACGCAAATAGGGGTCCAGCTACCACGGGGTGGTACAATAGATCTGGTGCAATAGATTTGTGGGGGCGCAAATGTATTGCTGGAATTCTGCATGCAAGCACGCACTAGTTGCAATGCAATGCAACTATCTGTCGAAGTTCATTTGCAATACAATTGCCCCAAATCTATTGCACCATCCCCTTTCAGTTGGACCACTCCCTCCCCGCGGCCTTGGCCGCGGCCGCGCTGCTCGTCGAGGAGCGCCGCCCCCAGCCCCGCGTCGACGCCGTCTAGTTACGTCGTCGCGGATCTCGTGTACGGCCTGGTCCCCGTCCGTCGAGGGGGGGTCGCAAGCGCCCGAAAAAAGATCGAAGTCCGTGGTGCTCGTATGAGGGTGCCACCCTCTAGGCCTCCCAGATGGGGTTGGAGTAGATGGGGTCGAAGGATCTCGCCGCATCGCCGATGCATCGCCCATGCGTCAGCGCTGCGGCTCGATGTGGAGCTCGATGTTCTTCACGCCGACGTTGCCGATGCATCGGCTGCGTCGCGGGTGAATCGCCAATGCATCGGCGATGCATCGCCGATGCGGCTCGATCCTCCGACCCGATCTACTCCGACCCCATCCAGTAGGCCTCTACACCCCCGGTCTGAGGCTGCTCGTGGGGTGGCCAGCCCCTGAGCCCAAACCAGAAAAGCTGGAGGGCGGTGGATGGCCCGGTGCTGGTGCGGTGGATCTTGAAATATCAGCCCCGGCAGCAGCTGTAGCAGAGTCATACAGGCCCGCCGCACCGTGTCGTCCGCCCGTGGTGGCCCCGACAGGCATTGCACAACCCTAGCTCCAAACATAGCAACGAGTTCCCGCTCATGATGCTGCAAATGCCCAGGCACCAGCATACGTCTTACAAGTACGCGCATCTCCAGCCGATAATGTTTACTTACTTCAGTGACGTCACGAAGCGTCACGCTGCCAGCTCTCCTCAGTTGCTGCGCCACCACAAGGTCACCGCCCGCGCGACCACTGTGCTGGGGATGTCCGCCGTCAGCATACGCCACCAGCAAGGCGCCCATCATGCGCATGATATCTCACAGGTGCAGCTGTCAGAATGCGCTACCAGCTGTCGTACAAAAAGTCCATCGGTACATCTTGAGGGCGAACGCCATCCCGACAACAGGGCCAGAGGACTGCACCAGAGGCCGGCATGCAAATGAGGCATTCGAACTGCCAGCCGTGCATGAGGTGGTGCGGGGTGCCTTCGTAGCGGCTGCCATAACCTTACCACCACGAGGCGCGGACCCCTCCCTGTTGAGACCCGTCGTTAGGCAACCATCCGCCGAAGCGGGAGGACTACGTCTCATTTTTTAGTTTACCCCGTCATTTGCGAGTTGGCCGAGCGATTCTGCGGGTAAGGATTTCTGCGAGACTATGATGGCGATACATAGATATGTGTATATATATATATATATCGATGTATATACCGATAATTACATACTTACATTTATACATATATGTGTATGCATATATATATATATATAAATATATGTGTACATACACACATACAAGTATATGATCACATACATGTATACATATATATATATACACATATAAATGTGTGTAAATCATATTTTCAAGTTTTGTGGCGCCCAAGTCGTCCCGAGTTGGCCGAGCGATTCTGCGGGGGAGGTTTTCTGCGATACCACGATGATATGCACATATGAGTGTATATACTTATGTATGTATATACATATGTATAAACATGTATATGCACACATATGTGTATAGGTATACCATGATATGTATATGTACATACATACACACACGCACATACATACATATATATATGTGTGTATATCACATGTTCCAGTGCTCTGGCGGCCGAGTCGCACCGCGCCTTATTTTTCACGTATTACTCGTATCACTCGTCCCATCACTCCTCATTTTTCACATATTACTCGTATCACTCGTAAGAAAAAGAAAATAGTTGAAGAACTTCATTTTCTTTTTACGAGCGATACGAGTAATATGTGAAAAATAAGGAGTGGTGGGACGAGTGGTGCGAGTAATACGTGAAAAATAAAATGGGATGCGCGAGGCGCCTCCTGGGGGGGCCCGGGGCCGTTGGGGAGGCGCTAGACATAACAACATGCAGCCGTTTTGGCCGTTTCTTGCTTGGCGGCCGGGCTTCGTCGTCGTTGTCAGTCGGCCGCCGCCGTGGTCCGTCGTAAAAGTCGAAAAGCAAAGTGTCCAGTTCGACTTGCCCCTGTCTGATTCAGTCCGGGGTAAGTTCACGGTTGACGGTTCGATTTTCGTAGTGATTGAGATGATTTTTCCCCGGTCTGCCCTTCGAACATTCCCCCGTGCACCCCTTCGTGCATTTTTGCGACCCACTCAGTTCGAGGGCAGCCACGTGCCGGGCAACGCACCCACAGGCCTCGGAACAAATTAGCGAACACATGCCACATTCATCCGTCAACGCCTCCCCTTCCCCCCAATGTTCAAAGTTGGCGGTGGGTCTGATGAGTTGTACTTCGACCGCAGTCTCCCCCGCGCGTGCCAACCTTGAGTTTGGGGGGCAGGGGGGGTGTTCACTAATTGTTTCCCTCTACCGTACCACCCAGTGGCTCCGACATGGCAGCTTGTGAGGACACTCCGCTGCGTAGTCCGCGCTCATCACGTGCGTGCAGCCGCTGTCGCAGAGGAAGAAGGGAAGGCGATCCGTCAGCTCGAAGCGTGGGCATCCCGGTAAAGCTCGTCGTACAGTTCCCTGGCTCCAAAGGTATTCGTGGCCGTCCACTGCTGCCAGTCCTCGATGCCCAGCATGTGCCCGATGAGGAAGGTCGAGCTGCCGCTAAGGACCTGGCGGCTAGAGGCGCACTCGTTTCGTGGCGCAGTCAGCCCCCATTTCGGCGTCAAGGTGTGAGTCGGGGGAGGGGCCAGTATGACGCGGTTCACTCGGGCGGCAGCTCTGCTTCCTCCAGCTGCGGCAGGAGCTCGCGCCAGTGCGTTATGATTGCGTCTGCCATTCGATGGCATAGCTCCCGTGGGTATTCTTTCGGGTGCGTTGTTCGGTTCCTTCGAAACGGCCGAGAGCTGTTATGCGGCCTCCCTCGTCCGTGTGTGTGCATCGGCCTCTGTGTGGGGGGCCATCCGCACAAACTGTACCATTTCGGGTAGGTGCGTCGTGAGCAGTGTTGTCGCCTTGATGGCGTCCGCGCCGTAGGCGCACTGGTCCAGGTTGGTGATGCGCATGTCTGGGTGTTGCGCTAGCGCGCGCGTCTCGGTCAGTGTCCACGAGCTGACCGTGCGGTTTCCATGCGGCCCTTGCGGGGTGCTCGATGATCATCGGCACTCTGGCGCAGGGCGCCACTTGCGCGAGGTACACAGTGGTGCGGTAGAGCGCGTTGTCCAGTGTCCATTGCGCCTGTTCGCGCTCGCTGGCTGTGGGGATGCCCCCTATGTGCTCCCAGTGGTGCAACGGTCTGGGCCCTGATCTCCCAGAGTCCAGCAGTTCCCATCTTGCCGCCGACCATTTCTCGCATGGTTCCGAGCACGTGCCCTTCTTGAACGGTTTGGGCCCATCTTTCCAGTCTGTTTCGGTCGATGACGCCACCGACTGTGGGGTCGGCGACGATGTCCAAGGACAAGACCCACACCTTATTGCTCGAAGTCCCATTGTCCCCCTCGCGGCGTCATCCTGCGAAGAGTTGTAGGATTACCTTGCAGCTTCCCGCGACAATGCGCGGTGGGGCTCTTGGTGTATGTCTGCTCGGTCGCGGTGGTTGGTGTGATGGCGGCTCCGCCCTGTACTCACCAGTGGCTGCGCCTCCGGGGCGCGCAAATGCGGGTTTGACGGGTACGATGGCTTTGGTGGTTGGGAGGCCGCACCTTTTGAGCTCCGCGATGTCCGCGGCGTCTTTCAGTCGCAGCCTTTCCATCTCGTCGACACCGAGTGATTATCACAGGTTGAGCACTTGTGCGAGACAGTTCGTGCGCCGGTAGCGTAGGTGATGCATGAGCCTTAGTCGTGTCGTGTTTTTTTCCCGCATGCTGTGCACACTGAACCTGGTGCGTACCTTTACGCCAAGTCCGCTGGCTGCTGATCTCTAGTGCGGTAGGTGCGATACGCCCCCACTCTGGCGAAATCTCGCCCGCAGTAGCAAAGGTACCTTCGTGGTGGTAGTGGCGGCTCTGGCGGGTCGTACACCTCCCTGATTTCCTGTAGCTGCCTGTGCCACTCCTTGCGCTTAGCTTCCTCAAGTTCATACCACGTCGCTCGCTGTGTTGCGCGTGCTACTCGTGCCAGGAGGTCGGTGGGTGCGTTTATCACTAGTTCGATTTACTGTGCTGTCGTCCAGTGATTCTGCTCCCCGTCAGGCTCCACAGTGTGGCGCGCCACCCAACTGAAGTACGCACGGAGTTGTGAGCTCCACCCTGTTTCTCCGTCTGCGTCGAGCATTTGGAGCAGGGCCAGGGGTCCGCCTGTCAGCAAGCTCTGTAGGTGCCTTAGCCTGCAGGTGAGTGGGCCAGCGCGTCGAGGTGCAGAAACCTCTTGGAGTGCGGTACAGATCGTGCATGCTTCAGGGTGCGCCCGATTGGCGCGCGAGGGCGCCGCTCGGTACTTTCGTACGTTGTGGACGAGGGCGGCACTGCTTTTTCGTGACTCTTCGACCATGGATCCCAGGTGCTTGTAGCTGTGCGCAAGCATCGGGGAAATGTAAGACTCGGGTACGCTGGAACTCGAGTTCGCCTACGCTTTTTGACAAGCCCGCCATGGGTTTTGACGGTTCAGTTGTCGTGGGATGTCTGCAGCGGGAGCTCGCGCCAAATGTCAGAGTGGATCTCGTAATTTTCCTGATTGTCCCTTCAGGCCAACCCGAGTCCTCCGAACCCGAGTCTTACGTCTCCCCGGGAGCATCACTTGGACACAGGTGCATGTCTCCTGCAGCTTGGCCTGTCCGTAAGTTGCTGCGCGGGTGCCCTTGCGCTCTGCGCCATGCAGGGCCACCCGCATCTTTTTGCTGTTTTTGTTTGCCTGGTTTGTAGTTCGGCGGGGATCCGATGGCTGTCATGATCTGTGCGTTGTTCTGATGATCGTAGGGATGGTCTCGCGTTCCCTTCCAGTCTCGAGTTGCACGAGCAGGGGCGCGTCATCTGCGAACGAGGTGTCGCCAGCCTCCTCCTCCTCCGCCTTTTCCTCATCCGCTTCCTCCCTCTCCTCCTCCTCATCCTCCTCCTTCTTCTCCTCCTCCTCCTCCTCCTCCTCCTCCTCCTCCTCTATCTAATCCTCCTCCTCCTCTTCCTCTTCCTCCTGCTCCTCCTCCTTCTCTTCCTACTCCTCCTCATCATCGTTCGCCGCATTATTATTTTCATTACTGCCATGACCATCGCTCCTCTTCTCCTTTGGGCGGAGGGGTGAAGAGGAGGACTAAGTCCGACCAGGGGGGTGAGGAGGGGCATGAGGAGCACAAGGAGGGAGGTTGGAAGGGGGGGATGGCTGCCCGAGGTCCTGCGATGAGGCCTCCCATGGGGTCCTCGGCGCGCGGGCTGCTCGCGCGCGCGCCTCCCCGCCGTCTGGGCTCGGGGCCTGCTTGCTCACGGGCTCGGCGAGGCTGCGTGTCGTCTGGGGCCCGCGGCCGACTGCGGCCAGGCACTTGCTGAAGGGAGGGGTGGGGGGGAGCATGTGGGGAGCCAGAAGGGAGGGAGAGAGATGTCAGAGGAGAGGGAGGGAGAGGGAGAGAGGGAGATGCTGGTGGGCACTTGCTGAAGGGAGGGCGGGATATGTCAGAGGAGGAGTAGACCAGACGGGGCTAGGACGAGGATAAGTCCGTTCCAGAGTGTCCGGGGCGCCCTCAGAGCGTTCAGGAGCGCTCTGAGAAGGCCGTGGTGCCCGAGACATCCTCCAGAGCCGCCGGACGTCAGAGATTCTCGATGTACTGTGCGATGCGTAACGGGGGGGCGCTAAATGGGGGGGCAGCGAGGGCTGCAGAAAAGAGGCCCTGTAGGGCCCCTCAGAGGAGCCCTGTAGGGCACCTAAAGAGACCCTTGAAGGCCCAAAAGGGGCCCTGAGGGCTCCTAAAGGGCCCCTTCAGGTTGTCTTTAGGCCCCCCATTCATCGCCCCCGATTAAGCGACGCTCGAATGTATAGCCACCCGATTTCATCCTCGTCCCGGCTTTGTCTTAGTAGATTCTGGCACCGCTCGCTTTCCCTCGTCGCCGCGGCCAGATCCGCCGCGAAACCCTGGTCAGAACGCACATCGGGAGAGGTCCGTGGAGGAGCGGTGTGGGTGTCTTTTTGCCCCCCCCGGGGTGGGGGAGGCATTTCCGCCCCCCTTTCAGACCTTCCCCCCCTTCCTCCTCCTCCTCCTCCTCCTCCTCCTCCTCCTCCTCCTCCTCCTCCTCCTCCTCTCCTCCTCCTCCTCCTCCTCCTCCTCCTCCTCCCCTCCTCCTCCCTCCTCCTCCCCTCCTCCTCCTCCTCCTCCTCCTTCTCCTCTCCTCCTCCTCCTCCTTCTCCTCAGGAGAAAGGACGTCGTCCTCGGGGAAATCCAGTTTGAAATCCTCCTTCTTCTTTATCCTCCTCCTCCTCCTCCTCCTCCTCCTCCTCTCCTCCTCCTCCTCCTCCACCTCGCTCGTTCTGCCCCTCATCATCCCCTCATTCCCCACACCTCCTCTTCCTCCCCCTCCTCCTCCTCCTCCTCCTCCTCCT